AGGAAGGAGGGGGGCCCCGAGCGCGCGGGCCTTCCCGGCAGCCTCCGCTGCGGTCCCCGGCCCGTGGCGGGCGCGCGGAGCCCGCGGGAGGTGACAGAGGCGGCAGGAAACGTCCCTTTCCGGTCCCCGCCCGGCTGCACCTGCGGGCGCCCGCGCAGGGTGCGGCACCGAGCAAAGGGCACGGGGCCTCCGGGCTCCCCGCGAGGCTCCCGGAGCCTCCGCGGAGCGGGACGGGGACCAGGGAGGGCAGCGGAGGCTCCCGGAGCCTGCGCGGGGAGGACGCTGAGATCCATCCCCACCTCGGCTGGGGACAGTGGCCGAGAGACCCGTGTGGGTCCCGCCACGCCGCTTCCACCGGGAAAGGCTGGACGCGATTCCCAAAGTCCCTCTTCAGGACAATAAGCAGCCTCCATGGATGGGGTAAAAGCTCCAGGCCTCTTGTGGCCCCAAGACGGCAGATCCGTCCCCGGCTCCCGACACATGGGAGCCCATGGGACACAGCGGGGCAGAGCTGTCCCCAGACCTGCGTTCCCGGAACGGGAACGTGCTCCCGCACAGGCTGCCAGGACGCGGCTGTTGGTATCGAGTTCTCACGAGAGCTTCTTCCCCAAATCCGCCCGCGGCCTCAGCGAGGCCTCAGCGAGGCGGGAGCCGCCCCGCTCACCTCAGCCTCATCCGCACGGAGCGGCCGGAGCCTCAGGGAGCAGGAGGGCTCGGAGGGGACCCATGAGTCCCCGCTGAGCGGGACCAGGCTGAGGTGGGATCCCAAAGGGATGCAAAGCCTCCAGTTACCTGCACTGAAGTCTTTCCCTGGGAGCCAGCAAAGCCTTGGCCACATCGTGCTTGGACACGTGCCGGCCACGCGGGCAGCGGGGAATTACGGCCCCCAGCCCGCCCTGGAGTCCCCAGGCTGCTCCAGATACAAAGCAATGGCCACTCCAACGTCCCCGCGAGCTGCCGGCCCTACCGGGAACCCCCTTCCATGTCCCTCGCCTTGCTGCCGGCTGCTCCAGCGCCTCCGGAGCTGGGGGAAGCCAGGCACGGGTGGCAGCCGCGCATATCCGCGGCAAGGCCGGGTTCCCGGGATGCGCAACCCGCTCCTCGGCCCCCGCAGCTGCTCCGCAGGGAAGCCTTTCGCTCCCTCCTCGTCGGCAAAACATCCCAGCGCCCGAAATGCATCCCTGGAATGCGGCGCGCGTGCCTCCGTGCTGCAGCTGCCGCGGCTCCGTCCCGCCGCGGGCACGCGGGGCCGGGCAGGACGGAAAAGACGGAGCCATCCCGGCCTCCGCAGGGCCCCTGCGGCCTCGCGTTCCGGCTCGCAGGACGGTGAGCCAGCAAAAAGCCGTGCCCCGAAGCCAGGGAAAAACCCGACCCAACCCTGCGCTGGCTGCGGCTCCCGGCACGCGGCTCCCCCCGCCCCCCGGCGCGCGG